TGCCGGCCAGGCCCGGTCTCTGGCTCCTGCGCCTCCTCTGTGGATCTACGGACGAAGTCGCCCGGCAGCAGCGAGGTCGGAAACCGGTTCCCTCATGATGGGCTCTGGCTGCCGCAGCACGGTCGCCGGAGGAACCGGCGGGCTCCTCGGCTCGGCAGTGGGAGGCGCTGCCGCGGCAACCTTGAAAAGGGAGGAACAAAAAGCACTCGGGCCCGACAGTGTTGGCGTTTGTTCAACGGCCCTGGGCGTTGGCTAAACAGCCCTGCCCTGTTCGATTCCTTCTGAGGGTGGGTTGGCTAAACGGCATCGCGTGTCGGGGTGATCATTATGGTGGTGGACTTTCTGCTCTCTAAATCTGGTCCTCCAGAACCTTGACCTCGAGCCTGAGCTTCGTGACCTCCTCGGCAGCTGCGGACTGCGCTGCCGGAGCCAGGGAGACTCTCTCCTCGACCATCTCCAGCCGTTTCAGCGCGCGCTCCAAGGCAGCGTGCGCGCGCCATCCTGGCGCTTCCCCAGGGGCTTCTTCTTGATGGCGATCCGCTCCTGCAAGTGAGCACGAGCCATCTCGTTGCCCGCAGCTTCCGGCACGGCGGCAGGGGCCGCCTCGAGCTGCTTGACGGAGTTGTTGAGCTGCTCCTTGGACGGGGAGTCCCCCCTCGGTGGACCGGAGGAGGCACTGGCACCTCCACGGCCTCGGCCGACTTCGGGGTCGAGCCGAGCCCTTGGTGGCCTTCTTGAGCTTCTCCGCGACGTCCGCAAGCTGCTGCGAGATCTTGCTCTGGGAGGGGCGTGCTGCCTGTGGCTTGGCCTGGGGGGGGTAACAGTCCCGGGTGCTGGATGCCGCCTCGGCCCAGGTGTGGCGCATGCCGCACACCACGCAGGCCGACCTGTTCCAGTTCTCGTGTCCGCATCCCTTGCACGACCACTGCCGCGATGATGAGCCACCACAACCACCACCACGTTTGCCAACAAAGTGCCTCGCGGTCTGGACTCTGGTGTTCGATCCCGCGGATACGCGGTCGCACGGATACGTTCTGCGCGGGGCATCCGCGAAAGAGCGCCCCATATCCTGGGGTCGCGGCCCAGGGGCCCGGCCGCGGACACGAATATGTTGTTTTTCGCCCATGAGTGCTTGTGCATAGTGTGGACAGGTTCAGGTTTGGCGGCTCCTCCTTCCCCGTGACGGGGACTGGTCGTCGTCGTCGTCGTCGTCGTCGTCGTCGTCGTCGTCGTCGTCGTCGTCGTCTACCGTCTGCCTTGCCCCCTAGGCGTCTCACGGCGTGGTTTTGAATTCTGCGCACGGGCTCGTGGGCTCGGCAACTCGCCAGCCACCATGCGGTCCTCCCTCTCACGCTGTGGCGCAGCCTCGCTGTGCTGGTGCATTGAGGATGAGGTCATGGTTTGATTTGCGTGGTTGATGCGGGGAAAATCACCCGCGACGGGGGCAGGTTGGGCTGCTCCTCCTTCGTTTCCTGCCGCTCTGTTGCTCAGCATCCGCTTTCGCAGCGTCGTGGCGACGTCGGGAATTCAGTGCTGGCGACGCGCGCGCCTGGAACCAGCACGGCAAGGGAAGCGGCCTCGAAGGGGCATCCTCCAGCGGAGGGCGTCTGGGCAGTTTCAGCCCCCCCCTGAAAACCTTCGGGTTGGACCGCGCAGCCGTGTTCCGGGGTCGTGCCTCAATTGTTTTTTCATTCGGGAAGTTTGCTGGGGTCGACCTGTGCCTCCCTTCGGCCGATGAGGAAATCAGAGGCGCGAGACGCGTGGAACCGATTTCCCGCGGGCGACGATGAGCTCTAGGTGCGACTTTATTCCCTGGTACTCTTCCGCGGAGATCCCGATCCGCCATGGGAAGGGAAGAGGGCGCAACGGCGCCGCCCTCGCTGTCGTCATCAACGTCGCTATCGCATGTCGGAGACTTCCCTAATACTGGCGGCATCGAGATAGGAGGCGGGAGAAACACGACACCGATTTCACTCGGGCGATGAGGAGAATGGGGGCATGCGAAACGCGGAACTGCTTTCCAGACGGGGGTCCAAAGCAGGGCCCCCCAGAAACTCCACCGCCACCGCCGCGAAGGTGACCGAGCCAAACTCGCGAAAACCTATGGGTCTCGAGTACGACTTGAGTGCGACCAGGTCATGAGCTACGTAGAGGCATTGTTGAACCACGGTTTCCCTTGCGACGGACTGTGAGAAGCGCGACTCTTCGGCCTGACCGGGCGCCAGACCCTCCTCGCCCAGTTCGCCGACCACCAGCTAGCAGTGATGCTGACCTACAAGAGCGACGACGAGGCAGACGACCTACGGGCACCGCGTGCCATGGCTACGCAGCTGCGGCGCATGCTCATGTCTATGAAGCTGGCCCTTCGCTACAACTAGACTTTCCAACGCCATTTCAGTTCGCGCGGTTCCAGAACATAGCCGCGACAGCTGCGCTGCAAAAGACATCCGAGCTGATCAACGCACGAGACCAACAACCCAACGTCCCAGTAAAAGACGGGAGTGGGCGGCAACCAAAAGCTGTTCAGCCACAAGAGCACCACAATTCTGCCCGCCCCAATTCCGATCCAATGACCGTCGGCCAAGCCGACCCACCAACCGTGCAGCAACAGTCTGACCCACTCACGCAGGAGAATCCAATGCGGAACGAGGAACCGAACCAGAGCAAAGAGATCCAAAGCTTCAACCGGTGGGCACCAGCTTTAGCAGAATTCGCAACGTGGCAGCAACGGCGTTTAACCCAACAAACACCATCCGATGCAGCAGCTGAGGCCCGTATGCTTCAGCAAACGAAGCCACCGCCAGGGGCACAGCGAAAGATGATCGATTCTGGCGGCCAAACCAAGCCGACAGAGAGCCTGGGGGGGAGAACCACCAGGGGGCCACCACGCTACCAAGTAACAGCCAGCAACCAAACCCCGACGCGGTTCCAAACCGACCAACAACCGAGCTGCACGACAGTAAGCAAGCCCGCAACGACGGAACTGTCGAAGGGGCCCAGATGGTGGCTCAGCGCCATGGCCACCGTTTGAGGTTGAATGCGAGCAGCACCTCAAAGAGCACCAGCAGTATCAAGCCACGGGAAACCAGGACATCCCCCATCTTGTTGCCCACAACCACGAGGCCCGCGCCTCTCGATGGGACCAGCCTTACAGCGGCCCGTCAGGTCGCCTGCCTCCTCGCCCACCATGCGCGGTTCTGCTCAATGTTGCTCCATGACAGACAGGGGACGTCACGCCAGCTGTTAGATTCCTGCACCCAATGTCTGCACTATTCTTTAACCCAGCCGTGCGCACTCACCGACAGGATCGGCAGCAACACAGCTGGTCATCCAATCTCTAGACTCACATCTCCGACGACCGCGGATAAGGGATTCCCGCAGGTCTCAGCATACGGTGACGACGCAACCATCAGCTATGCTACGCAGTGGGTCCCTGCGGGGCATTCTCACCCACGAGCTGTGTTGTTTCACCCGACGTGTCTGCTGAAATAAGGCCTCCACCAACCTCCAACCTTCACACTCTGGTGGCTTCCTGCTCGCAGCCCCTCACCCGCCGCTTCAAGTCATTGGCCTCGCTACACCGCCCCCCCTTGTGGCGGAGGGGTGGGGGTGGCGATGCGTGGGGCGGGGGTGGGGATCGTCCTGCCGCAGGCTGACCTGGCGAGGTCCAGGTCGGCCACGGCCGCAACCAGTAATGCTCTGGTTTGATCAGCCCCCCAGGGCCGACTGGCCTTGGTGGGGGGGGCAGTCGAAGGTTCCTCGCGCCATCAGGAATCAGATTCAGGAGGAGGATGAGGAGGAGGATGATGATGAGGAGGAGGATGAGGAGGAGGAGGAAGAGAAGGAGGAGAAGGAGGAGGAGGAGGAGGAGGAGGAGGAGGAGGAGGAGGAGGAGGAGGGAGGGCCGAACAATTCTGATGACGTTTTTTGGGCGTCTTTAGGTCTGGTCTGGATATCTGGGGGCTCCAGGGGGCCACGTTTCATCGAGGAGGTGGCGACCCTCCCTCGGTTGGGGCGCTCGTCAAGGAATGTTCCCAGGAGCCTAGACCCTGACAGATTCCTTATATGATGGGGTCGACAGTGATGCCCATGGCCACGCCTCAGTCGGTGGTCCACAGGCTTCCAGACCCTGGA